AGCGAATAAAGACTGGTTTTCACTATGTCATATTTTGAGGCCAACATTTGGCGACATATTTTGACACAACTTCATCTCCTTTATTCANTATTATAATAGCAGTTAAAAAAAAAATCGATTCTGTTCCACTGAACTAAAAAAACTATGACTTCATCAAATGAAAGGCNATTATAATAACAGTTAAAAAAAATGGATTCTGTTCCACTGAACTAAAAAAACTATGACTTCATCAAATGAAAGGCAAACCAGTTGAGGGAGGAAGCGAATAAAGACTGGTTTTCACTATGTCTTTTTTTTAGGCCAACATTTGGCGACATATTTTGACACAACTTCATCTCCTTTATTCATACCTTTAGCGATGATATTATGGGCCTAAAACAGATAGATAGCCGATTTAGCAGCACATGTACCCGATTAAATACCAGTCCTGATCCAAATCAATCGATAAATCGCTTTTTAATACCATTTGACAATGTGTTTCCACTTATTTGACGACAAATGCCATTGAATTTGACATAATGAAAATCAGCCTTAAACGAACACGCGTATGCCGAAACTGCTTACATACATATGCATGTATATAAAGACGTTGAAATTCATACAATCGAAAATCTTATCATTTATTTCTGGCTCCACTGTTAGAAATCAAAATACATACATATGAATTCTGCAGCTGCAGGCAACTGAATGCCTGCCGTAGTTTCTATTTAATGACTGCCAAATTTTTACACATGTAAGTTGTTATCTTTTTTAAGATGCTTGTCTAAGTAGTATTTATATACACACACATATCTACAAACATTAATTACTTAAGAGCGACCAAAAGAACTGATATCGCAAATTTTTTTAATTTTTATCAATTGTCAAAATTATTTGGTCACGAAAAAAGCGAGCAAAGNGTATTTATATACACACACATATCTACAAACATTAATTACTTAAGAGCGACCAAAAGAACTGATATCGCAAATTTTTTAAATTTTTATCAATTGTCAAAATTATTTGGTCACGAAAAAAGCGAGCAAAGCAATATTTTCTTTACTTGTATATAAATGAGTAAATTTCGCAAACTGTGACATAGTTTAAAGTCAGGATTCATAGCCAACATATTACCACATAGTCATTTCCAGCCCAACGCAGCAGACAATACCGAAGAACAGTGCAAAAACAGTGGTAAAATAAAATACGCAGAAGCCCAGTATGAGGAAATTTATTGGTAAGTGATTGCCAGAGACGTGAACGCAAGTGCTCGCACGTGTGTGCGCGTTTAACAAAATCGCTCCGATCTTTTTTTTTTTTTTTTTTTTTTTTTTTTTTTTTTTTTTTTTTTNGAATAGTTGTAAGTCACGTCCTTCGTCCTCGCAATGGAGCTTGATGTATATCTGTGTTGATGTGAATCTAGTAATATCCATGAAAAAGTATCATCATGTAGCAAAAGTTCGCTGCTAATTCGAGTTTCGAGCCCTTGGACGGATTTTTTGATGGTACAATTTGGCCTTTTTCTTCGCTGCGTTACTTCTTTTCCTAATGAAGTTAAACGAGATTTGATATGACATCCTGCAGATACGCGGTGACGACTATCTTAGCAGTAATAAGGCTTAAGTTCCGGCTGTACGGATTGCAACTATGGCAGACATCGAGTTCTGAGAAGAAGATGCTTCTTAATGATTATTGATCGATTAATTGCAAAAAAATAGTAAAAATGTTTTCACGAAATATGACTTTTGTAGTGGTTTGTAATCCATCAATCGTACAATCTTTTTTGCTAGCATCAACTTTATTCACACCGAGGTTAAAAAAAAAATTATTTCAAAGATCTGTTTGCATTGGCCTCAGTAATAAAGTTCTTGCGAAATTAAATAATGTGCAATTAACAAGAGAATTAGGAAGTTTTTTATGGAAAAGTGTTTTTGTGAAAATTCGCTGTAAAAANTTCTTTTTTGCTAGCATCAACTTTATTCACACCGAGGTTAAAAAAAAATAATTTCAAAGATCTGTTTGCATTGGCCTCAGTAATAAAGTTCTTGCGAAATTAAATAATGTGCAATTAACAAGAGAATTAGGAAGTTTTTTATGGAAAAGTGTTTTTGTGAAAATTCGCTGTAAAAATTCGATCAATCGATTATTTCTCAATAATTGCAATTAATAGAAATTAATTTTTTTGGCTTGCTAGTAGTCATATGACTAATTAATCCACTATTTTATTTTTTTGCCAACCCTAGGCGTAACAGGATGCGGCGCTGCGTCATTTTTGCATATTTCATCTAAGTTCAGGGCTAAATACTGAGCCGTAGCTAGATAAGTTAATTAGAATAAAAGCTTGTAAAATGGATTGTAACGGCCAGTAACAGTAGAGCCCCATGCTCTATTATTAGTCGAACCGTAAGCAAATATTTAAAGAAAAAGCTCGTATTTGAATGTAAATTGTGGTTTATCCAGTATTGAAAATCGGATATCAAAANAACAGTAGAGCCCCATGCTCTATTATTAGTCGAACCGTAAGCAAATATTTAAAGAAAAAGCTCGTGATTTGAATGTAAATTGTGGTTTATCCAGTATTGAAAATCGGATATCAAAAAAAAAAAAATAAAATTATATAAAAAAAAATTCATAAAATTTTCATTAATTGCAATTAGAGCATATTTCTCCAAATTCATTTTCTCCAAAAATGTGTTTTTCACAAAATATGACTGCATATTAAGTATTGGCACGGGATTAGGTCTGATAAAGCTTTCAAAANCCAAAATATGATTTTTTTTCAAATATATAATTTTTTCCCAAAAATAATTTTTTTTTCCAAAAAATCTTTTCTAAATTGTTGTGCATTTTCTAAATTTAGATTGATACTATTTTCCAAAAAATTGGTTTTTTGTTGGTTTTTTTTTTTTAATCTTTAAAAATATTTTTTCACCTACATTGTTGAATCTTAAAAATCGAGTTTTCGTCTGAAAAGTTTTGCCCCTAATATAATTTTTCTAATTCTTATTACCAAAAATATAATTTTTCGCGAAAGAATGATTTTTGCCGCTAAATTTTTTTCTCGAATAAAACTTTAATTTGGTGAAACATGCTTACTCCTAACAACAATATTTTCCTAAACTATATTTTTTTTGTAATTTTTTCAATTCAAATAAAAAAAAATCTTAAATATCTTGAACATCTTTTCCAATTTTGAAAACAAAAATACTTTTTCTAAAAATCCATGATTGAAATACTTTGCAAAATGAATATGGAGCACACATCAAAAACAGAACTTATCGTCAACTGAAATGCAAAAAGACGTAACAAACATCGTCGATGAAATACAAAAAGTCGTAACTAATAAAAAATTAAAAATTCAGTGTTTGACTGATATGATAGATTTCATCGAATTACATCTCCCACATCATATTATGAAAAAAATAAAAAATATTAGTCACGAATTTTTCCATTTTAGTTACGATGTTGTTACGTCTTTTTGCATTTAAGGTGACGATGTACAAAACTACTAAAAACCCACACAATTTCTTTTTGAGGGGAGTACCTTTTTGGGAAATATGTTTCACATGGTCCTGAAAGGGTTAAAACCCTAGATTTGAGAGAGACTGGAGATTGTTCTGGTCAATATCTGCCGTGTTTGGTGAAGAAATAGCCACCTTGCTATGCATGCAATTCTTTGTCACGCCCTGCCATTTTGTGGTTAACTGGCTTGAAAACTGTACACTCCGGAGTTATCGGGGTCTTGGTTTCATTCCTGATTGAACTGACTGCCGCGTTACCCAATAGCTCTTTTCTGCCTACATTACAGTGTCTTCGAGGTGGGAAAATCTGGCACTAAGGAACAGTAGAGCAAAGTCTGAGCAGTGTGACATCATTTAGAGAGATTAGCATTTACTGTTATAGCTAGACGTCTTTAAAGGCCCTGAAAGCCATGGTGGTCAGAGAATAGCTGATACAAATAGGCGACTTTGAGGAAAGTTAGGAAACACCTGATCCCTGCTTCAGCAGCAATCTGTTACACGGCCTAGTTTTTGCGAGGCTAAAGTTTAAACACATTTTTCTGACTAGCAGCGACAGGCTTTCTGGCATTGGAGTTATCGGCATTCGTAATTTCGCAATCGTATATTCCTCGACCTATGCCTAAAAGTGTGGCAGCATTCATATCGAGGGAAATCCACTATCAAAACTTGTGCCAGTCCAAGAAACACCTATATGAGCAAATCTCACGTCTCTCTTGCCGATAAAAAAAAAAAACGCTAAATCATTCTTCTTGCATTTATTTCAATGAACGAGGTTCCACTTCCAAGTTCAATAAAAAATATATCAAGTACATACTTAAACAGTTTTAAAACTTTTATTTATGTGAAAAAGTACCGAACTTACTAGTTTTTCATTGTCACTCGAAAAAATCATAATTGTTTTTTTTTTTTTAAAAACTTTCAGAAGCTTTCAGATAGAATGTTCATATTGGTCGTAATGAAAGTTGGTACCAAATACAACAACAAAAAGGAACAGTCCAGCGCCTTCGTCTTGGTCTGCAGGCTGGCATTTTGTTAATGCGGTAACGCGTGCGTATATTTATTAGCCATTTAACTGCTATGTATTGAAGAAGTAAAGCTAATGACTTACTGCATATTAAGTATTGGCACGGGATTAGGTCTGATAAAGCTTTCAAAAGTTTTGGAGCCTGACTTATGCGGTAAAGCCAAAAAATATGCCGAATGAGGGCTCTTATTTTTATTCCAAAACTATTCCTACATCCACGGAATTACTTCTTGGTTCATCCGATCCTGCCTATTGCTCAGTTCGGAGCGTTAATAATTTTAAATAAGATCCCATAGATTGACTTTTCTTAACATCGTTCATACTTTCTTTTCGGCGGCGGTGTTTATTGTTCACCCGTTCACCCGTAGACGTTGAGTGAATGATCAGGGTAGACTTAGTTGCTTTGAAGTACACTTCTATCTAATTAATTTCTTTAATTTTCTCTCATAGCATTCATCAGCGTCTTATTGACCCTGATGGCCGTCACCAGCGCCACCAGTTTGAGTCAAAATGCACGCACCGTCGACAATGCACTATATAGACGTTTTATATGTCGTAAAAAAGCGAATGGTTACAAAACCATAGTACCTGGTAGTTGCTCGAGATATTACCAATGTTATAATGGCGCCAGTGTGGAATTGGAATGTCCACGCTACTACGATGCTGCGAAGAAATCTTGTGTCGATCGGAATACTGGCTGTGTTGAAGATAGACAAGCGTATGCTGCCGTCGCATTAGTTGAAGAAACTGGCCCGTGTGCAGGCCGAACTAGTGGCTATGTTGTGGGTGACAATCAAGCGTACTGGTATCAATGTAATAACGTGCAGTGGTTGACTCCGGTGTATGTCCCAGTGGCCAGGAATATAATTTAGCATTATTGAAATGTGATGTAAAATCATCCTGCAATGGAACGGATGATTCTTGCACAACGACACCAGCACCGTGTACCACGACAACAACAACATGCTCCACTACACCGACAACAACAACATGCACCACGACGCCACAGCCAACGACTACAACAACATGCACTACGCCAAGTACAACAACATGCACTACCTTGACAACAACAACATGCACCACAGCGACAACAGTAGCGGCCACCACACCCACGCCAACCACAACAACAACAACATGCACCACACCGACAACAGTAGCGGCCACCACTACTCCACGCCAACCACAACCAACACCTACAGCCAACACAACAACAACAACATGACCACACCGACAACAGTAGCGGCCACCACTACGCTCGCAGGCCAACCACCACCACACCACAGCCAACACACAACAACAACATAGCACCACACCGACAACAGTAGCGGCACCACTACTCCACGAACCCACACCACACCACATACAACAACATGCACCACACCGACAACAGTAGCGGCCACCACGACGCCGCAGCCAACCACAACCACACCACAGCCAACAACAACAACAACATGCACCACACCGACAACAGTAGCGGCCACCACGACGCCACAGCCAACCACAACCACACCACAACCAACAACTACAACGCCTGCACCAACTACCACAACAACAACACCATGCACCACACCGACAACAACAGCGGCCACCACTACTTCACAGCCAACAACTACAACAACATGCACCACACCGACAACAGTAGCGGCTACCACTACTCAGCAGCCAACCACAACCACACCACAGCCCACAACTACAACACCTTGCACCACAGCGACAACAACAACTAGCACCACTACTCTGACAACAACAACGTGCGCCACTACTCCGACAACAACAACAAGCACTACTACTCCGACAACAACAACATGCACCACACCGACTACAACAGCTTGCACCACGACTCCAGAACTATGCACAATCCCACCAACCACATGCGCTCCTGCTGTCACTAATAAAGATAAAGAGGCCGCAGTCGCAGCTATCGAAGCGTTAAAGCCAAATGTTTATGTGCGCCCAGCTCAGGAATCTGCCAAGCCTATGCAAGTTCTACCACCGCAATCACACCAGTCTAATGTAGACTTATACGTACAATACGCTTGTCGTGGCAAATCGAATGGTTTTATGTTGGCCTCATTGAGAAGTTGCAGTGAATTTTACATTTGCCATAGCGGTGAAGCACTGAAGGCTAGTTGCGGTGATAAATATTTCAATGCCCTGAAGGGTATATGTGATCTACCTGAGAATACTGGTTGTATTCAACCATATCAACAGAAACTGTAAAATGCGATACTTTGACTTTATACAAGTAAACTTACGAATATAAAGCACCGATAATCCATGCTGCGAGAGTGGAAAACAAAACAGAAATTAAAACCGATTGTATATTGAGTAAACCTACTCACCTGCAAAGGTGCATATGTATGAAAAGAAAAAAATTCTATGAATATAATAAATATGTTTTTGAGCATGCCATACATGAGAATGTATATAAAAAAACAGGGATTTTCCTTAATTTTTTCAATGATTTTTTAATTCTATCGAAACAACAAAATTCGGTATTTGGTTCATAGTTTGATAATTTTTGCCATAGTTATTAAGAAAATATTATTTATAAAAACGTCTTCTTGAACCAAAGCCAAATTTTTCATCAATGTTGCCTTTCAAGCCTAACCCAGGTATAGCGGATCGCTTCCTGATCGAACGACTGCCTTTTCTCCATAAATAATTAACATTTAACGCCCTTAAAACCAGAGTCCATCCTTACCAAAAATGTTCGGTAGAGCCTTCTACCTTAACTAGCGCGCCAGAGTATAACAATAATAGGCTCACAACAAAGTACCGTACCCCGTCTTCTTATTTTTCTTAACTTTCTTCTCCTTCGATTATCTACTACGCTTGCGAGCCATCTGATTCTGTCTCCGGCAATCACTTTGAGCTTCTTCCAGCTTAACACGAGTTGCTTCGGCTCTCGCTCGACTGTTCTGCTGTACGCTTCGCGCTGTCTGCCTTCAGGCCTGCCTATGCCGACTGAGGGATTCCATTCCAAGGCCTTATTTTGTCTTCTTTTGTGCAAAGTGCGGTCTACTCACTTCCATTTCTGTCTTCGAATCCATATGTGAAGTAGTTCTAGGTTGGCTTGCTTGAGTAGCTACTCATTCCAGACCGTTACAGCNCATTCCAAGGCCTTATTTTGTCTTCTTTTGTGCAAAGTGCGGTCTACTCACTTCCATTTCTGTCTTCGAATCCATATGTGAAGTAGTTCTAGGTTGGCTTGCTTGAGTAGCTACTCATTCCAGACCGTTACAGCGGAAAAACGTTGGGACATTAGTCCCAGACATCTGCTTATTTGGAGGCGCTTGATTAATGCAGTGCCAACTTTCCAACTTTCCAGGTGGAACTACCATACAGTAGTATCGCGAGCATATTTTATTTGCACAACGTAATATTACGCTGAAACTGGAACTGATGTTTTTCCATAACGAGTAATTCATACCAAAGTTCGCTCTGACTTTACTTATTCGGCGGTAAATGTCCCTATCAGCGTTCCTACAGGGCCCCACTTCGCTGTCAAGCTATGTCTCAAGAGTTTGTTTGCAGACTGCCACGCCATCACAAGACTTCGCTGATATACTTAACATCTTGGTCTGGCCATCTTTGTTAACCCACCTTAATCAATATGCTACAGTAAACTGGACTTGGACAAGCAAAGTCCGCAGTCGAGCGTGCCAGCATCCAATAAATCCTCAATCACCAAAAGAAAAGTTCAGAGTATGCTACCTTGTGGAATCCCGCTGTGAGCATCGAATGTCTGGGACCATCTTTTCTTTTGGTCTTTTCTAGACATAATAACCAAAGATTAGCTCTACTCA